GTATTTTAATGGTTTAGTGAACTGTGAATCTTAGTGCTGCAAATTAAAGGAAATGGCAGCTCCATCAGGCAGATATCTACTGTAGAGATTATTTTTATGTCTATTTAAACAGCATTGAAGACATTCTCTTCTTGTATCATGATGCATTTAATAGAAAATGAGTATGTGTCTCACAGACGTGCTGTCATACTCCTTTTGATGTTTTCACTCCAGTAAGTATTGGAATTGTAGAAAATGGAACCTCATCTTAGGGGAATGTGAGATACTTCATGATAGCACATCAATTTATTAGACACTTTCCAAATTCAGGGAAGCTACTTAAATAAAGTTAATAATAATGTTTAAATTATTATTAATAATAGATACCGGGCTAGGCTATTCCAGTCCATCTGGCCTAGATGATGAATTCAGATGCATTTAACAATGAACTTTGCCATGTCATGTATTATACTGCAGTGAACAGAAGCTAGAAGACGTCACATGAAAATTGAGGTGACAATACAAATCTTCTAGAAAGTGTTTACCTAAGCTGCTTAATAATCTGAGACTCACACAGCCTTAACAGGATCTGAGCAGCATAAAGAGTGCTACAGATCCAGATATTTTTCATCAGTAGGGCTGAAGAGATGCAGAACTTTTTCATTCTTTTTCAGTGTCAAAAAACCCTCCTTTTTTCTCTTACTTTTGTCTGGCTTTGGCTTCTTTGTCACTTTCCCTCGTGAGAGTTTTGTTTTAAAATGTGTGCCTAAAGTTAAGCTCCAATTAAGTTAATTTTGTAACATTTGAACTTCTAGATCACTTCGGGGCAGGTTTTTCAAAGTATTTAGGTTGTGAAAACTGCAGATGGAAGCATAGTGGGATTTGCAAAAGCACTTAAACAGATAAGGCGCTATGGTTCCATTTAAATTAATTAGTTAGATTGAACAAGTTCCCCTTGGTACTTCTGAAAGTTCCACTGCTAAGTGTTTATGTCTACATTAAAAAAATATGATCTTCAAAAGAGTCTGAGAATCCAGCAACACCTTTTAAAGTTTAAGACTATTACAGGTTTTCAGCAGTTCTGAAAATTATACAGTGTCCCTGGTTCTATGTTCCCAAATGATTCTACTTCACTTTCTTGTTTCTTAACAGTTTGTACTATCATTTATTGCCTAAAGTTAATCTCCAAGAAGAAGTGGGATCAATAGTACTATAACCTAAGGATAGAAAAATAATGATACGGGTGAATCTTCTGCATGCGTTCGAGAAGCCGGGTCCTTTAGTGTATACATCCAGTGACTGGAAAAACTGGTAGACATTTAAGACCATTGTTTTAATTATGTCTTGTACTAGATTTCCTTACTACATTTATATTATACAAAATAATACCTCAAAAATGCATTACAGGCAAAGAATGCTGCAGGTTATGGATAGCTGGGAATGAACCAGATGGCCAAAAGTCGCATGACTTTTCAGTCTTTGTTTGCTGCATATGCAGAAAACTTTAGGAGACACGTTCAGTTGTAATGAAAGCAAGCAGTGCTCACTCTGAGATATAGTTTCCCCTGCCCTTTGCTCTGCCTCAGTGATGGTAGTGTCTAAGTAGCAGTTTGAGAGTGTACACACACTAGCATTTTGGTTTCAATCAAGAGTCTGCTTTTGAAATGAATCTCCTAATTATTCCCACTTAGCACACTTGCTCATTTGTGGAGTGGGTCTCAGTCTATGTGAACAGCTTTGGCGGAAGCAAAAACAGAAGATGCTTTCCAGAAGGACATATTTAATCATTACTGAGTGTTCAGTCCACTGAACTATGTCAAAGTTAGTTTAATATAACCTTCCTTCCCAGACTTTTATTTCAAATACTGAACAATGTGAGCATCAAGTCCTCAGAGCCAACACCTTAGCTCCACAGATCAGCTCTTTACTATGCAACATTGCTTGTTAACGTAGTTATAAACTGAGTTGTCAGGATGGTTCATGGGAGGAAACCCATCTTTGCACCCACTTACAGAGTTAAAATCCTACAATGCCAGAGTTTCCTCAGATCTACAAATATTTTAAAGGGGATCTCCAGTTTCAAACAGTGGCCAATGTTTCTTGGGAATACATCCTGTCTTTCTTGTTAGAAAGTGAAATGAAAAACTCATGAGCAAGAACTCATAACATTTTTAAGAGCTTTTTCAGAAATGTAGGTCAACCTAAATGTGACTCTGTTTTGCCTAAAAAAAGTAATCCAGACAAGACAGATTTTAAGACATAACTTTTATACCTTGCAAAATGTACCTGCGCCAGCCATTCATTCTGATTATTCTCTACATTGATTTAGATTTTTTTATGGTTTAAGACTCCATTCTTGTTTGAATTGTTCTATCACTAGCAGCTAATAGTGCTTATATTCAAAATGAAAAAAAAAAAAGAAAAAAGAAAATTGAAGACTCATTTGTTTAGCCATTGAGTTTTCCAACATTACCAACCATATACTGCTATGCTGGAAATTATATCTTGTGTAGTTTGTGTCAGATGTACTAGAATGAAAAACAACATGAATCTTTACCAGTGACCTTCAGAAATAGGAATTTGTTATCAGTTGTTGCCACTGGGATGCATAACTTTAGGAATTCTAATGTATTGCCAACCAGGAGGAGTTTTAAGCATGTTTTTAGTCAATGAAAGCACTGTCAAGACAAAAATATAGGAAATCATAAGTAGCTGTACAGTAAAAGGATATTTTTTTTCTTTTTTCTTTTATTAGGGCAGATCTGAAAGACACAAAGGAATTCTATGTACCAATCTGAGCTGTGGATTCACAATACAGTAAATGTGGCTTTAGGATGCTTAATGCTAGATAAGAAGAACTGTAGCCTCATGGTATTAAATGCTGATCTGGTATAAACTTCTTTTGCCAGTTCAAATGTATTAAAAAATTGGACACCTTAGCTTTATCCTGTCAGACTTTCTGCCACATTAGATGTTGCCTGTCCATGCCGTTCTAAATTTATGCTGGATCAGGCATTGCATACTGTCCTGGTGATTCTGTATTGTGTGCTGTAATCTGGGAAATATGCGGTACTGTTCTTCTTTTGAGTCATTCCAAATTTAACCACAGATCTGGATTAATGACCATGGCCTCCTGTTGCCCCCATTATCATAGTATATGACTAAATCACAAGCTTTAATGCATTTCTTCTCCTAATAACACTGTGAAGGAGAGTATGTCTTTGCTCTCACAGATTTCATCGTAACATGTTTTCTCTCTTGTCTAGTAGATGAAACAGTAGGGGTTATGCAGGGTTTGAGAATTTAAGTGATTAAAACCAGGAGATTGTAACGGAGGTGAATGTTTTCTTTGAGTGTCAAGTGCTCTGCTAGGGCTCTGTCAAAGCCGTTTCATTCAACTGGGCTATTCTTATGTTTTTTAGGAAGCAAATTACTTAAATTATTTCCTTTTAGATAGTCACCAGATGCTGCATTTTGTGTTGTTCTTACAGTCCTTGATATAAAATACGGTTAACTTCTGTAGGTTCAGGACTGATCCAAACCCCAGTGAAGTCCTTGAGTGAGTGGGGATTCACCGAACTGGTGGTATAAGCGAGTTTCTTGGATCCTTGTTAATGTGTGGCCCCTTCTTTGCCCTTTTGAGTGGTGAATAACAGCAAAGTCCTACACTGTGCAGAATAATAGATAGAGGAGACAAAGTGCCTGGCTGCTTGTTGCTGTTTCATTCACCCTGTGTGGTGCTGTAACCAGCGCTCCAGCTCTCTGAAGAAGGCAAATGAGGCCAGCAATGTTACATTTGTGATTTTTCTCTCAAATCTGTTGAAAAATTGCTGGAAAAATAGGCTGTTAAAGCCAAAATTATTCCTCTTGATAAGGTGTCCTCGTTCTGTCCTCCAGAAAGGAACTGAAAACATTCCTGATGCGTGAAGTTTTGTTACTGATGTTTCACTTATAAATAATGCCGCCAAATGAATCAAAAGCACTGTGTACTTAACAGGCAAGAACAAGGCAAGTCCTTTGTCCTTGAGTGCTTACCACCTAACAAAGGTATGAAAGGTGGAATATGGGAGCAACACAGAGTGATTCTGGTGCCTACAAGTAGCTCTGTGCTCCCCTCACTGCTCTGGTTCACTCAGTGTGACCTCTGGCAGAACACGGTTTTACTAAGGGTGGACTAAGGAGAGCTGGGACCAAACTCAGTAGTAATTTTAAGCAGGAGATGCTGTAAATCCATGAGTTTCCTGTTCATATTCTGTTTGGAGGGCATGCAGGAAGAACAGGTAAGTGGATGAAAAAAGTATAATTTGCTAATGTGCTGCTGTGGAGAAATCTGGGATTTCCAAAACAAGAGTGCATTATGTGCATCCTTTCTGTACTGCAAAAAGATGCTTGGACTTTTTAAATCCTAAATTTAAATTTAGGAGGACTAAAGTAGTAGACATAATATCTTTTCAATTATTATTCAGAAAGCAGTGCATACTCATTTTTTATCTTCTAGAAATGTAAACAAAACACTTATATGCATTTCAAGATTTAGAAATAGGAAACGTATAAAAGATCCACATTCGTGGGAAAAAGTGGCATCATGGATCTTTATTCTGACACTCTTTGTTCTGCCAGAGCTGATGCAAGAAGATTTTAATATCGTTTGCTGTACCAGAAACTTACCTGAAACTCACATAGCCTTATTTTGTAATTAAATGTTTGAGAACTACTGGTATTTATATTTGCATGTGATTAACTTTTAAAGCACTGTGTACAGGGCTTTTTGCTGTTAAACTAGTTTAGAGTCAATAAATAGCTTTACAGACGTCAGTTTGGTCAGCAGTAAAGAGGTAAATAGAAACTAATGACAGTCATCAAGCCTGTGGCATGAATGATTTATTGGACACAATCCTTTAACACTTTTATAAAGTCAATACAAGGGAAAGAAACAGGTTTCTTATTATGGTAAACTGTATTTGTACTGTCAGCAAGTAGTGATTTATGGCAAACCTGTGGCCAGGATTAGGATATTATAGATGGGGGAAAATAGAAGGCTCATTAATTTTTTATACCCACAGGTAGACGACATGCAGTGGGCTAATAGAGAACACACTCATCCAGCATCTGTCTGCAGCCTGCCCTGTAAAGCTGGGGAGAGAAAGAAAACTGTGAAGGGAGTGCCCTGCTGCTGGCACTGCGAACGCTGTGAAGGGTACCATTACCAGGTGGATGAATTCAACTGTGAACTGTGCCCCATTAACAAGAGACCAAACGCCAACCGTACGGATTGCCAGCTTATCCCTATAATCAAGCTGGAGTGGCATTCTCCTTGGGCCATTGTGCCCGTCTTCATAGCTATTCTTGGTATAATTGCCACCACCTTTGTGATCGTGACATTTGTCCGGTACAACGACACACCGATCGTCAGGGCCTCTGGACGGGAGCTCAGTTACGTGCTTTTGACTGGGATTTTTCTCTGTTACTCCATTACTTTTTTAATGATTGCAACTCCTGATACAGTGGTCTGCTCGTTTCGAAGGATCTTTTTAGGACTTGGCATGTGTTTCAGCTATGCTGCCTTGCTCACCAAAACAAACAGGATTCACAGAATATTTGAACAAGGTAAAAAATCTGTCACAGCTCCCAAATTTATTAGTCCAGCTTCCCAGCTGGTGATCACTTTCAGCCTCATATCCATGCAGCTTATTGGAGTCTTCATTTGGTTTGCTATCGATCCACCACATATCATCGTAGACTATGGAGAGCAGAGGACACTTGAACCAGAAAATGCCAGGGGAGTTCTCAAATGTGACATTTCAGATCTTTCTCTCATTTGTTCCCTTGGATACAGTATTCTCTTGATGGTCACATGCACTGTTTATGCTATTAAAACAAGAGGGGTTCCAGAGACCTTCAACGAAGCAAAACCCATTGGATTTACTATGTATACAACCTGCATAATTTGGTTAGCTTTTATTCCAATCTTTTTTGGTACGGCCCAGTCAGCGGAGAAGGTAAGTGATGAGAAGTTTACAAATCAAATACTATCTTCTTTTTATTTTTGCCTTGCAGTACTTGTAACACTGCAGTATTTTCACTCTTACAAATCAGTAATTCTGAATGCTTATTGCAAACAAACTCTCAGAATTCACAGATAATAAAATACATGATTCCAAAGATAAGTTTCCTATATTTTAACACAAGAAACTGAATGTGATTGTGCTGTGGCAGGCATAATAATGTTGACATCCTCTCAATATATCCTTAAATGACTCTTTCTTCTAACGTTTATTATTACCTTTCAGTGCTGCTCTAGCCTATTACATGAAACACTATAAATCTTTGTTATCATGCACAGATCTAATAGAAATGGTTGCATTTCAAAAGTCTAAGATCATCAACTTAGATTTGTAAAAGATAATGAAGAAGAATGTCTGGGCAGAATGAAAAGGACTATTTTTCTAACTGGTTGACACATATAACTTAAAAAAGAGTGAATGAAGTGCATGTAAAATCATATAAACCACAATTCACTGATTATTACCTCACAGCAAAAATAAAACATTTTCCTGATCATTTAATTAGAAATTAAATGTTGCATAATTGGATATCTGTTATTCCTTGTTCAATTGGCATGGATCTTTCCTGATACCAGTCATGGTGAGCAGTACAGAATGCATCAGACATTTAACTCTCCTTCTCTCAGTTCTAATGGGAAGGCAGAGGTAAATGTTGTCTGTGTGAGTTTTTATCCAACTGGTAGTGACAAAAATAAAAAGTGAGGTAGGCAAGAGCAACAATACCAGCATCAATCTTCACAACTGCAAATCCATGAGATCTGGAAAATTTTAAAAATAAGAAATTAAAGTCAGCAGTCTTAAATAAGCTCTTCCCCCTCTTCTTCTAGCTACTGATTTTTATAATGTTTTTAAATACACATTTTAATTTAATTAATTTAATTGGAAAAGTGAACATGTGTCCACATGTAATTGTGCAAGGTTTTGCCATGTCTCTGGTTCAGAGGGTACTTTTGGCTTCAGAACTGAAGAATAGGTCTGTATATCTTGATAAAATGCTTGCTAGCTCAAGAAGAGCAATTGTATGGGGGAGAGAGTGTGGCAGAAAAACATTTTCCACACTAAAAATTGAAGTAAGCAGGGTTGCTGAATTGGATCAGGTTTGATTGCCATGGTCTTTTGGATTAAGTCAGGGTAAGTGAGTACCAGGGTAATGGCATATCATAGATACAGTAAGTAAAGGTAAAAAAATCCTGCTTGATATAGGAAAACATGTTTAGGTACATATATTTAAATTCTGACTTTTTTGTATGTGTAGGGTTAAGTCAGAAAAATACTTTGTCATATGAATGTGTGGTACTTTTTGTTTTAACAGCTTGGGCCAATCAGTTTTATGGCAAGTACCTATGGCAAAAGAAAAGTATTTCTGAGTATTGAAACACAGGAAATATTACTTGTCTGGCAACTACACAATGAGTTTTGATTTACACCATTGGTTTGCCTTAGCTTGTAATAAAGGCTGATTTGGTTTTGACCTCTAAAGATGTGATTGATGAACACCTCTTTTGCATTTCTTTTATGAAACCCAAGATTGAACACACAAATTATACTAAATCACACAGCTTCTAACATTAAATTTCACCTGTTAGTTGCCTTTTTTTTCAAAATGATTTGTTATTCTTCAGATGACGTTCAGAAGGAAAAAATTAATATGCTAGTACAGTAGCTCTGTAATTTAAATAATTCTTTTCACAGTGCTACTTTTTGCTGCAAATAAAAACATGTTTCTACACAGAGTGTTATGGACATTATTATAATCACTCCCGTAGTCATACAATTAAATTGCTTGCCTGAATAGGACAATAACATAGTATCTTAGTGCACACATATATACATTGTCTGAATAAGCTAAGGTCAAAGTTGCTTGTAGGTTTCTCAGTTAAAGCGAAACACCAAGAGAAGCATTTTAAAAACACACTGATACGTTAAAAAATACCTTATTTGAAATTTGATATTATGATCTTTTTTGAGGATGAAACAAATGAAAGAGAAAATAAACAGAGTTTTGTTAGGTTCTTACTCACTTTGCTGTTGATTTTAGAATCCTGAAATTTTTTTTTTTTCTTAGTAGTTTGAGTTCATTCAGAAAGAATGGAGCAACAAGCTAGGGTACTTAAAGTATTATTTAAAGGCAATGTTTCCTTTTTTTGAAATGTTGACAATAATAAAATTTAACACAGCATTCATTAAAAGTCAAGTGTACTTCCAATATACAGGTCGTTGAACTAATAGCTTTAGACACACTTCTGTTTGAATAAAGACTGGCTAAAACTTCTCCAAAGGAAAGAAGGTCTGTTTTCCTAAACATTAGTACTGCCTACAACAGCAGAAGTTGTGATGCTTTTTTTTTGAAAGAGATGGTATAATTACTTAACTGTACCATTAACACAGATTAAGTAGCAATTGTATTGAGAAGCTTTTATTTTTATTTCACTGTCAAAATATTTCTACTGATAAACAAAAATATATTACCATTAATGCTAAATGTAGATCCAAACCTCATAGATCGCCAAGGAAGGTTACCTTTACATTTGGTGGACTTGGGATCAGATCCTAAAGTACAAATTTGTCAAGAGATTCTGGGTAGAACCTAGAGGCGTATAAGTCTGTACAGTTGGCACAAGTCCATAAATTGAGGGTTGGTGTCAGTCAGACATCAAATATGTGTGATGAAGGCCATGTAAACAAGCATATGTAAATCTCTGCAGACAGACTGCGAATCTTGCTTGTATGTTCTTGATGTGAAGCACAGGATGGGACACTCCTCTGTCTCCACTAAGCATACGAAGAACCCTGGGTCTGTAGCTGGTTAATATACCTGAGGTAAATGCTTGAATTTGCATGGTGTGACACATACAGAAGAGAAAACATGGTGAAAGTTAAAGTAACTTGACAAGACTCAGTGGGAATATGCTGATTTATAGTCTTGATATTTGTAGCATTTTTAACGGTCCTTTATAACAGGTGCTGTTTCTACTCGTGTATTTTTCCAGTTTACGTGTAAATTTAAAATTAATACAGAATTGAGACTACTATATAATAATCAGGAAATTAATAATAATAATATATATGTGGCCAATTAACAAAAAGTTAAAACAGCAAACCAAAATAACCTTGCATAACCCAAGATTGGTGGCTTTTATGGAACTCCATATTTATTATTTGTCCTTAATCTCAAGCAGACAAATATAAACCCCTTGTGGTATTAAACACATCATTTTTAGATTGTACTTTCTACAGATGTTCTGCAGGGACCAGTAAGAGCATTGACTCTAGGTCCTTTGTGATTGTTTTGACTAATTCATGATTTTTGTCCATTCATGATCAAGCCTGTTTTGACAGCTGCTGCTTTATGAAAGGAGTCCAGTACAAATAGTTAAGTTACTACAGTGTGTCATTGAACTGAATGAAAAATGTATCCCTAAGACGTAAAACACCAGTTTTCTAACACTTATGTAGATGTCAGCAAGGTGCTTTAGAGGCAAAGGAGTGAAATTCTGTGAGAAAGCTTTCTGTGAATATAGCCTTCGTCTATGTCATGCACGTGTACATGGCAAAAGACTGGAAGTACTGGGATCATCTGCAACAGAGATGTCTAAAATGTCGTGATGACTGGAATGCCACAGGAAAAAAAAAGAGTGGAATTATCTTAATGATCAGACAGATGTTTAATGAACCTCTGGGTAAAATTAAGTTACAGTGGCAGACTGCACAAAAAAGAGCTGAGGATAGATGGCTGTCTAAAATATATGTTCACTCTTTGACAGAGTGAACTTTTAAAATTTCATTCTTTTTACCAGTTTTGACAGGTGGATGAATCATGTTCATTCACAGAAAATAAAGACATCATTTATTATACTAACCTGAAAATACTTTGTTTTGAAATAGAAGATGAATTTCCCATATTGTGAAATAACGGAGGTTGCGTTTTCTGCTGAGGCAAGAGATACATAGAAAATGCTGAATGATTTCTTCCTTCTCCTCCCATCGGAAGCATTGCAAGGTGTAATGTAACAAGGCAGATAAATTTTAATGTATTTTCCAGTTATTCTGAGAAGTTTGATCTCCCTTTTCATAACTGCAGCAAAGGCAAAACAAGTTGCGAATATGGTAGAAATCTTCCCATAAATTGTTATACTTATGAGCTTACTATTCTAGATGTTTTCATCCTGGATTTGCTGATAGTGTGTATCTTATGCTTATATCCAGCTGTTAGTAATGCTAAAAGAAGCTAGAAACACTTCCAAGAGCATCTCAATAATAATTTGACTTGTAAACTACTGTTGTAGTTGTCAAGAAGCAGCTACTCACTTCTCAGTGGGAGGGAGACGTAGTTCCATCAGTCTCTTAAGAGACGTTCTTTACCTTAATAAAAAAACAACAAACTAATCATGACAATTCAGGTATCCACCCCTTACTTCCCCCACATTTCTACAAAATTTAGACAAATCATCTTTTTTTTGTGCGTTTATATTATGAATTCTTGGCTAAATATATTCCTGTGACTGTAAGAAAACAACACATTTTAATTATGCCTCAGACTGTGTTAATGAAGCAGACTGCACAGAGCCTTTTCTTCACCTCAAAGCATTCTCTCCTAACTCTGATCATATTTATAGATTCAGCTCTGCAGGTAGTCCATGCAGTACCCATCACAGAAAAAAGTAAAGAAAACTTTATCATGTTAGTATTTCTTCCATTTTATGAATAATGTTTGGCTTGATTAAACTGGGATCTTTACTGCTAACACTGTGCATAGCATGAGGATTAATCTGAGGGATATTTGGAACAGTTTCTAATTTTCATTCCCATAGCATCCAAAGTTAGAAGACTGCAGAAGTGATACTTTCCACAGTTTATCATTGTTCAAAACTCAACTGCTGTGCTGTGCTATTGCAGATTTTTTGCACGATCTTTAAAATATGGGAGAATTTACA